TCATATCCCTTCATGTGTTTCATATCCCTGATTTCTTGTTCTGACCCTCCTGAGGCATCTAAATCTGTTTGGTTCTTGTTTATGTTTGTGAGTTCCGGTTACCAATTTACACACTCATTTCCAGATAGATCAAGGGTTGCCAAATGTTCCTCAAAAAAGAACAGTCTCATATTTCATTTAAATATTTACAGAATCAATTTACACAGACAAGAAAAGGGTAAAAATCAATTAATTTTGTCTGTAGGGTGGAGGATAACGTCTGGCCTGGAAGTGTCCCTTATTTCATTGTCACAGATTTGGCAACCCTAGATGGATCTATTATGTTTTTGTCTTGTTTCTGGTGTAATTGATCATCATTTAATGAAGTGTAACAAAGCTATTTCTGACCCTGGATCCATGCTGAACCTGTAGCAGATATTTGCCAGCATGTATTACTATTATGTGATAAGTTTCCAGTGGACACCAAAACTCATACTCTGTAATCTGAATAATCTTGGAAATTATTACTTGTAAAGGTGGGAATAGTTTTCCATATTTAAACCAATCTTGAAGGGTATGGGTACAGAAACAAAACCTCAGTTGTGCTCTCTGACCCTTTGTTGTAAAATTGAGACAACAATGGTGACCAAAAACACAGAGTTTCACTTTTGGAGATCAACTTACCTGGTCTGGTGCTGATTGCCCCTTGGTAGTTCCTGCAGTTAGCCATTGTTAGTCTTTGACACACAATCAGCATTATTTGTTCAGCTCCTCCTGGTTTTTCTGGCTCTCTTCCTTCGCTGTTAGCATTACTGAGCAGAACGCAGCTGAAACTCAGCTTCTGTCCCTGGATCAGGTTTGGTAGACTCTTACCTTGGCACATCTGGACCGTACTGTAGTGTCTTCAATTGTACTGAGGTCATGATACAGATCTTTGATCTTCACAGTTATCAATTGGTCAAATTCTTCAGATTATAATGAGCCTCGCTTTTGTTTTTCACCAGCAATCAGGCTGAAGAACAGAAATGTTATCAATAACCTCGCAGATGTGTTCCAGTGCCATTAGTACCTACATATACACCATCAGTTGTTTGATTTGAGGTAATATTAGTGACAGATTGATGCCACAGATGAGTTTGGCAGATCATTCATGGTCCTACAGGGTTTAATTCTGCAGGAGATGTTTAGGATTTTATTATTAGTTCTGATGGACGTGCAGAGGGACAGAGAAGTGGAAATTGGTCAGATCTATAAAGCAAACAGAACTTGAAGAAGCTGATTCTCTGGGTCTGGATTCTGCTCAAAGCTTTAGCTTTATCCTCCTAATATCCAGCTTTTCTTTGGTTGAACATGTTGTGATGTCATCAGATGTTAGTCTTTAGACGGTCTTCTCTTCAGACCTCAGACTGCTCCGTCAGTTTTTTTCTCTCCAATCTCAGCTGTAACGTGGTTCATACATAAAGCACCTGAAGGATGAGTGTTTTACTGATTATGGAACCATTTCCACATGTTGAAAACTAACCGCTGCTTCTCCTGTGTTCCTCAGGATCAACAGAGATCCTCACCCCGTCTCGCCTTCTTAAAACCCTGAAGGACGTGGAGAAAGAAGAGCGACCTGGTTAACATGTTCCTTCATCAGCCCCGGTGGTACCCCCTCCCCTAGCCTAAACGTAGCACTTCCTGTTGTAAACTGTTGAGCCTCTGTCTCCTGAAGCTGTAAGTGAAATGATGAGTTTGTTGAATATGTTTGTTCTGTTGAAGCTAACAGGGCAATACCCAGGAAGTAATGTCCTTTTTTTCAGAGATTCATGATGTAATATAATGCTAGTCAGATTTCATCAGATTTCCAGTTCACTGATCTATTTGACCACAGAAATGCCAACATAAAGCCCCTCTGTTACTGATGGTATAGGTTTAGCGCCACCTTTTGGCTTGTCTTGTGTATTGTGTCCATAGTCTGCTGTGTTTTCTTCATGCTGTGAAGCTGTTAGCTGTTAGAACCTAACGCTGCTGTTTGGTTTTTATTAGTGTTGCACCGATACCAGTTTCGAACAGGGCCCTGATAACTGTAGCCTCGTGAGACCATCCTGATCTCGCGAGCTTTCAAGATTTCACTCGCTAATCAGTCTGGAGACTCTCCGTTGAAGAATATTTGGAGCCGTTCACCAAACGAACGTCCAATCAGCGTTGGCTTTGAGGCGGGTTGAGGTGTGACGCAACGAGAAGCGCGACAGTTCAGTCTAAAGAACATGGCGGCTTCAGCCGATGAAACTAGCGTTAGCGTGGCTATCGAGTAAGTTTTATCGGAATTACAGAGTATTTCATCACTGAAAGAAGAGCAAAACACTGCTCTGGAGGCTTTTCTCAGAGGAAAAGATGTTTTTGCTCTTCTCCCGAGTGGTTTCGCGAAGACTTTGATCTATCAATTGGCTCCTCTTCGTCGTCGCTCTGTTACGTCATATGCTTTATTGATTTGATTGGTTTATTTGGCCCGTCTATCACCAACATAGGCCAATCAGCTAACCAGTATTTTCGCCCCTTCCCAAAATTACTTCTACGGAAGGTTTCCAGATGGATATGCGGAGCAAATCCATCTGGCGGAGTCAGGTTACCGATACTGCACTACAATGATGGTATCTGTATCGGTGAGTAGCGACAAATAGGGCACCAATACCATTTTGAGAGCTAAAAGTTTATTCAACTATTGTCACCCATTCCAGTTAGGCAATAAAAATTTCTACTGGATTCACTTTGTATTTGTCTTTTTTCTGCTTCACAAAGGTAGGCAGCAGCCTGACAAAGCCATGATGACAATTATTTTACATCCAAGTAGTATGCAGTTCTTCATATACACACACACATCAATTTCAAACAGATGGTATTGTAATGACATCAGTATCGGTTGATACTGCACAGCCAGGTATCGGGTATCGTATCGGGGCCAAAAAATGGCATTGGTGCAACACTAGTTTTTATTGTTAAAACGTTGTTTGGTTCTGAACATAAGGAAATGTTACTGTTATCATTTCGTCTTCTGCATTTATGAACATTTAATGAGCTAATAAAATGACTTCTATTACAAACCAGTCTGTCCTTTGTCTACTACTTAATGCCTTTAGAAATGATGTTTCTTTTTTTATTACTCCAGCTTCCTGCAGAGCAACAGTAAATCTAGTATCTACAGGCAGAAAGGCCCCAGTTAAGGGAGCAGATCTAACCTCAATAAGTACGAAGACAAAAAGTGTTTAATTGTTTTTCTTTCTCAAAATGGCTAAAGTGAAAAGTATGAAGCCTTGACCTTTAAATCTCTAAAAAAAAAAAAAAGAATAAAACTCTAATTTTAGCAGAGGACCAATCGGTGATAGTTTCTGTGTCTGCTCATATTATCATGAAAACTGTATTAGAATCTTGTCTTCAGTACATGGGCCACGATAGGTGTGTGTTGAACCCCCTGTGCAAAGCAACACGGTACGTTCAGACCGCACGCAGTGGAAGCAGCAAAAACGTGCGTGCTGCTTCGCTGTTGATACTTGTACAAGTTTAGTTCTGACTGAAGCAGACTGACTGACCTTGCTGCTCTAGTTGAGTGGTCGAAACGTGGGTCTGATGTGCGTTGGGCGAAGCTACTGTAGCTTTTCTTTGCCTGTAACAATTGCAGCTATATTTGCTGTGATCAGTGTTTAAAAAGTAGTTTTAATATATTTTTAAAACATCATCTGTGCAGCTCATCCAGATTATGATCCTGCCGTCAAATATTATTTCGCTGAGCCGCTCAGACCTCCATGCACCAGCAATGCTCTGTCACTGGAAATCCCATTCAATGGCAGCCTCTGGCCCCGTCGCCTCTTTGCGGTTTTCTGCTACTGTTTGCGACAGCTGGAAGGCATTTCTCATGTACATAATCCAAACTGCAGCCACCAGAATACCAAAATTTAACATATTTTGCTGGCAGGTTTTGACATTTTAGGTTAATTTAGACATTAATAAACTGTTTCAGAGAAGTTATCATAGCGACCTGTTTCAGCAGTGCCGTGTCTGTGTCAGGATTGGGTTGAGGTTTGTGGACGCAAATGCAGAGACAGGGAGGCAGAGGTGAGTTTTTGTAGATTTAATGCAAGGTAAACAAACAACTGAGGCAGGAATCCAAAATCCAAAAAATCAAACATGAAAACAAAGTTAAACAAACCAGAAACCATGGAGGCGTCAGGGGGAAAAACTATCATGCGGAGGAAGACTCAGAGAGACGGAGTTGGAGGAAGTTAGACGAGGAACCAGCACTGAGGAACTGCTTAAATAGTGTATTTATGGGAGACTGAAACAAAGAGAGGACTAACAAGCAGATTGGGAGCAGGTGCGTGCAGAGCAGAACAGGAAAGGAGCTATGGAAAAGGAGAACACAAGAGGGCAGCAGAGGGCAACAAATAAAAACCTGAAAACTGAAAAATAACCAGAGAACACAAAAAATAAGAGTTAAACCACTAAAACTAGAAAACATGGAGCAAAGTAAAACTTAATACTCAAAAGAAAACATAACAGAACCAGAACTGTGACAGTCTGTCTCCCTGCCAGCTCCCAGATAAGTTGTCTGATTGGTTCATGTGGCGCGTAGGGCAGCAAAAGTTCAGTTTTTCCAACTCCAGCAGCCGCTGCTCGCACTTCAGATGCTCAGAAGCTCATGAGGCACTGCTTCGGCTGCTCAGATGCGCTGCTCCTGCTGCTCAAAATGCACTGCGGGACCTTTTGCTGTGCCTTGATGTGCATCACCCATTGACATTGCATGTAAACACTCTGCTTCTGCTGTTTCTGCAGCATGTGGTCTGAACGTGGCATAATACCAACTTTATGTATAAAGTGCTTCAAACAACCACAGCTGAAGTTCTCCTCAGAGCTTCAAGCTATGAACACACATTTAAAGGAGAATAGCCGTTAAATACGGCATGAGAACGATTAAACACAAATGGTTTTAAACAAAAGGTCAAAGAATAAAAGACGGTCGGGTTTACAGGTTCTGTTTAGACATAAATATAATATTCATTTCTCACAGCAAGATGGTGCCATCAGTTCAATGTTTTATCTGTGTTTATATCAACAGTATGAATTCCTGACATTTTAACCTGATTTAACTATTTTAAACACAATAAAGGTCAGTAATATAATCTTAAAACTAGTTATTTAGTTATTGCTGGAGTTTTATATGAGTATATATTATATTATTTATACAAAGTAGCAGAGGTAGAGCAGATAAAGTGCCTTAAACATCTGCAGATTTTTGTCACATCACAAAGAAAAACTCCTGTCTAACCAGGATGGATGGTGCTTTAAAGGACAATGAACGAAAAGCCCCTTTTCTTAATCAATAAAAAAAACACATAATTGGATTTTCCCAGAAAAGCTGTTCTGCCTTCTTAATCTCAGCTGTTTCAATCTGTGCTGGGGTTAGAGATCCAGTCTGGTCCACAAGTATGTGTGTGTAGTTGCCTCTAGAAGCAGGAGAGGGAGCCATTTCCAGAGCTGCTGAAGGCCTCTGATTCAGAAAGCTTTGAGGCATGTGAGCGATGGCTCCATAAAGGACTATTTTTAGAGCGTGCAGCTTCTGCAGCTGCATGGAGGATTTAATCAGGATGATCGAACACCAGGAGGAGAAGCGAGGAGCTTCTTAATGCCCCTGATTTTACTGATTGTTCTGCTTTCCTTTTTGAACACAGCAGAACGACACTTGAGACATCAGCTGCTCCTCTGCTGTCAGTCTAGGTGAGCTGATTATTTCTGAGCTGAAGGCTGAAGTTAGAGAAGATGCTGTGAGTCATTTCAATGCTATGGAAACCAGTAGTTTCTAGAGACTGATCCACCTCTGTTGTTTGTACAACAAAACACAGGCTTATATAAGCAGATCATAGGCAAGGATTTCCACAAGGCTTTTGTAGGTAGATTCTAGCCCTGTGTCTTTAATAGGTTCCTGTTTTCAAACTGTAGGAAAAATGTAGCAACGAATGCAGAGTTTGTCCTGTCTGAACATACAGAACAATCTGTGTCGGTCTCAACCAGTCTGTTGGGCAAAGGGCTCAGGATATGCCAGTGTTGTGGTCAAGACCACCTAACCCGAGACCAAGACAAGACCAAGACCAGAGTGTATCAAGACCGAGACAAGACCAAGACTTTTAGGGTCCGAGACCAAGTCAAGTCCAAGACCGAGGGAAGTCGAGACCAAGACCAGCGCCAGTATGTGACAATAAAATGTGAAACATAATCAAAATCACTAAAACTGATCTAAAAGACCCACATTCACATAAAAACACCTAGATATTTAACACACAGAACTGGAATAAACATCTTTATTTTGTACTTCTGCGTAGTAATCAAAGAATTTCAAACAATTAATCAAAGTCGATCAAAATAGTACTTTCTCATGAAGAGTACATACATTTATGTTGTTTTTAAATGTGCTATTTCAAAATAATGTGCAAACGTGTAAAACTGAAAAAATTCCAATCATTTCTCTTGTTTCTCTCTCATATACAGATTAAAGCTATATTATATAACTTTTCTTAAATAAATTTACACTCACCGGCCCCTTTATTAGGTACCTCATGCTAGTAACGGGTTGGACCCCCTTTTGCCTTCAGAACTGCCTCAATTTTTCGTGGCATAGATTCAACAAGGTGCTGGAAGCATTCCTTAGGGAGTTTGGTCCATATTGACATGATGGCATCACACAGTTGCCGCAGATTTGTCGGCTGCACATCCATGATGC